CAAGAGGGCGGAGCTTAACTGCAAAATACTTATTTCTTAACAAGAAATTAAAAACATATATTTGAGTACCGTGTTGTTCAAAAAATACTATGCATATTAAGAAAACAAGGCAAAATATAAACCCCGCCCACCCACCCCGTCTCAATTGTAATGATTTTTTTATTCATACAAACTTAAAATACGTTTACAATGGTAAATTTTTGTAGGGAAGTATGAATTTTGCAATTAGGCTCCGCCCCTAGGTCTGGCAACGAATGAAAACTTCATTAGGTACTACATATAGTATGATCTAAATCAGGACAAGTATTGGTGGGGCTTAATCTTTGGCTATAATTTTTTCTTAATATACATAAGTAATATTCTTTGAACAGCACGGTACTCAAATACATGTTTTTAATTTCTTGTATAGAAATAAGGATTTTGCAGTTAAGTTCCGCCCTCTTGACTCACGACGAATGAAAAATATCATTACAATGGAGATTGGGTGGTGGGCGGGGCTTATATTTTGCCTTTTCTTTTCTTAATACCATAGCCATTTTTTCACAACAAGAAACTTAAAACATGGTCAAAATTATACATTTTTGGAAACAAATATGGATTTTGCAATTATGGGGCGGAGCCTAATTCCAAAATCCTTATTCAAATTTTCCAATTTAAGCATATTTTAAGTTTCATGTTGTGAAAAGAAGTCTAGACATATTAAAACAAAAAGACAAAATGTAAGCCCGCCCACCCACCCTATCTCAATCGTGATGATTTTTTTTATTCGCAGTGAACCAAGAGGGCGGAGCTTAACTGCAAAATACTTATTTTTTTACAAGAAACTAAAAACATGTATTTGAGTACCGTGTTGTTCAAAGAATACTATGTATACCAAGAAAACAAGGCAAATTATAAAACCCCGCCCACCCACCCCGTCTCGATTGTGATGATTTTTTTATTCATAAAAACTTTAAAGACTTTGAAAATGGTAAATTTTTGTAGGGAAATATGAATTTTGCAATTAGGCTCCGCCCCTAGGTCTGGCAACGAATGAAAACTTCCTTACTACATATAATATGATCTAAATCAGGACAGGTATTGGTGGGGCTTAATCTTTGGCTATAATTTTTTCTTAATATACATAAGTAGTATTTTTGAACAATACGATACTGAAACACATGTTTTTAATTTCTTGTATAGAAATAAAGATTTTGCAGTTAAGCTCCGCCCTCTTGACTCACGACGAATGAAAAATATCATTACAATGGAGATTGGGTGGGTGGGCGGGGCTTATATTTTGCCTTTTATTTCTTAATACCATAGCCATCTTTTCACAACAAGAAACTTAAAACATGGTCAAAATTATACATTTTTGGAAGCAAATATGGATTTTGCAATTATGGGGCGGAGCCTAATTCCAAAATCCTTATACAAATTTTCCAATTTAAGCATATTTTAAGTTTCATGTTGTGAAAAGAAGTCTACACATATTAAAACAAAAAGACAAAATGTAAGCCCGCCCACCCACCCTATCTCAATCGTGATGATTTTTTTTATTCGCAGTGAACCAAGAGGGCGGAGCTTAACTGCAAAATACTTATTTTTTACAAGAAATTAAAAACATGTATTTGAGTACCGTGTTGTTCAAAGAATACTATGTATACTAAGAAAACAAGGCAAATTATAAACCCCGCCCACCCACCCAATCTCAATCGTGACGATTTTTTTATTCATAGAAACTTAGAACACGTTTAAAATGGTAAATTTTTGTAAGGAAATGGGGATTGGGCAATTAGGCTCCACCCCTAGATCTACCAACGAATGAAAAATTCATCACGATTGAGAGGGAGACGGATGGGTGGGGCTTCTCTTTTGGTTTTCTTTTTTAATTAATACATTTAGTTTTCTTTGTATAACACGATTACTTAAATACAATCATATTTCACATGGTGGTAATTTCTCGTAGAAAAAAAAAACAGATTTTACAATAATTAAGCTCCGCCCCTCGGCTTACGACGAATAAAGGAAATCATCAGAATTGAGACAGGGTGGGTGGGGGGGGGGGGGTTATATTTTGTCTTTTCTCTTGATATACGTAGTCATCTTTTCAGAACAAGAAACTTAAAACATGTTTATAATGGTAAATTCTGTAGACAAACATGAAATCTGCAATTAAGCTCCGCCCCTCGATTTAATAACGAATGAAAAATTCATCACAATTGAGAATTGAGATCGGGGTGGATATGGGTGGGGCCTAATCTTTGGATTTATTTTTTTTTATTAGGATGTATAGTATTCTTTGAACAACACGAAACTCCAAAACATGTTTTTAATTTCTCGTGGAGAAATAAGGATTTTGCAGTTAAGCTCCGCCCTCTTGGCTCACAACGAATAAAAAAAATCATCACAATTGCGATAGGGCGGGTGGGTGGGGCTTATATTTTGCCTTTTCTCTTGATATACGTAGTCATCTTTTCAGAACAAGAAACTTAAAACATGTTTATAATGGTAAATTCTTCAGACAAACATGGATTCTGCAATTAAGATCCGCCCCTCGATTTAATAACGAATGAAAAATTCATCATAATTGAGAATTGAGATCGGGGCAGGTATAGGTGGGGCCTAATCTTTGGATTTATTTTTTTTTTTGTTAGGATGTATAGTATTCTTTGAACAACACGATACTCCAAAACATGTTTTTAATTTCTCGTGGAGAAATAAGGATTTTGCATTTAAGCTCCGCCCTCTTGGCTCACAACGAATAAAAAAAATCATCACAATTGAGATAGGGTGGGTGGGTGGGGCTTATATTTTTCCTTTTTTTGTCTTAACATCCGTAGCCATCTTTTCCCAAGAAGAAACTTCAAACATGGTTAAAATTGTACATTTTTGCAAAGAAATATGAATTTTGGAATTATGAAACGGAGCTTAATTTCAAAATCGATATTTGCTTATACAAATTTTCCATTTTAAACATGTTTTTAATTTCATGTTGTGAAAAGAAGTCTACACATACTAAAACAAAAAGGAAAAACATGAGCCCCGCCCACCCACCCCATTTCAATCGGGATGATTTTTTTTATTCGTCGTGGACCAAGAGGGCGGAGCTTAACTGCAAAATACTTATTTCTTTACAAGAAATTAAAAACATGTTGTTGAGTGTCGTGTTGTTCAAAGAATACTATGTATGCTAAGAAAACAAGGCAAAATATTAACCCCGCCCACCCACCCCGTCTCAATTGTGATGATTTTTTTATTCTCAGAAACTTAAAACGCGTTTAAAATGGTAATTATTTTTAAGTAAATATAGATTTTTCAATTAGGCTCCGCCCCTAGGTCTACCAACGAACAAAAACTTCATTACTGTTTAGTGTTGCTTAATCTTTTGCTTTAATTTTTTCTTAATATACTTAGTATTCTTTGAACAACACGACCTCAAAAACATATTTTTATTAAATACTTACTTGTAGAGAAATAAGGATTTTGCGGTTAAGCTCCGCCCTCTTGGCTCACGACGAATAAAAAAAATCATCACAATTGAGATAGGGTGGGTGGGCGGGGCTTATATTTTGCCTTTTTTTCTTAATATACTTAGTATTCTTTGAACAACACGATACTCAAAACATATTTTTAATTTCTCGTGGAGAAATAAGGATTTTGCAGTTAAGCTCTGCCCGTTTGGCTGACGGCGAATAAAAAAATTCATCACAATCGAGATAGGGTGGGTGGGCGGGGCTACATTTTTCCCTGTTTTTCTTAATATGTGTAGACTTATTTCGACAACAAGAAACTTAAAACATGTATAAAATGGTTTGAATTGAATTTCAACTAATTTCAGTTGGTTTGTACAACTGGTTCTCAAGGTTCTAGCGTCCCTGTATTACCATGACAGTCCGACTTCAAAGACCATATTTTAACGTAAGGTGCAAATGATGATGTTATTTGACCGGAAATAGAAACGTCACCGATGTTAATTAGTAATCTACACGTTATATAAGTTGTGATAGAGATCTACGATCTAAAAAATAAAGTGTTAAAATTACAATCTACAACAAGCCCCGACCACCCACCGTCCGATTTTTCCGTGCCGCAAATCTCAATAGCCGCCCCGAAAAACATAAATTAAGGAAAGAGCCCTCGAATGTTTATTCAAGGAGTATCGCACAATGCCGCCGGCTCACCGCCACCATCCCCGGATAAAAATCCCCTTTAAAATAATATTTGTGCAATGCACGGGGTAACAACTCGGCACAAAGGGGGCTGTTTTCTCAGCCTCCCTATAGCGGTTTTAACTTATCTGTGTGTGCGAGCCGAGGGCACGACCCTGGAATAACGTATTGATCTTTGATTTGATGGGCTTGGGGGCGGCCGCACAACCCCGACTCCCGATTATTGCACAACCCCGACTCGACTCGCTTTCGAAAAAACCGCCAAACCTATCAGAAAACCTATCGGAAAACGAACGATCCCGTTGTCCCCTCCCCGCGTTCCCACGCCGACTGCGCTCGTATTAAATCACACTCATCCCGGCAATATCTCACATTAAATTGGTTCCACCACTTGCTAGTAACATATTAATAACACAAAGTGTTAATAAATATTCACGTATCATTATTTATGTTTCGCATTATATTAGTTTCCGTGCGTGGGAGGCAAACCGTACCTGTTTCTGTTGTTTCTTGACCATCTACCTGCGCGCCAGGGCCGGACCGCGACAGGTGCAGTCGCCAATTTGTAATAGCGCGTCCGCGTAATTTTCCCAGTGCGGCCCTGCATGATTTTCTTTGGCGCGGTCCTCGCCGCCGGTGTAAAGGTCGGTTCAGACACAGCTCTGACACCACACTGACACCGAAACGATAAGGGTTAAAGGTCTTACCACGGGGTATAAACACGGACCACAGACTTACCTGACGCCAGGACGTCGCCCTTTATCACGTTTAATGCGCCTTTTGTAGTGTTGTTATGATGTTTGAAACGACGTTTCAGCTTTGTATACAGGGTGTTTTTGTTTTTGTCAGGTGGGTCCAGTTCCGAATTAACGATATGTAAGGGCATCGCTCCGGTCACTAGCGTCTCGCCGACGTTCAATTTCAAGTCAAGTAAGTCTTTATTTATTTATTTTTTATGTTTTTAGTGGGACAAGCGGGCTGAGTGTGAAAGGGGATTCGAATTTGGCGCGGGAACGCGGTGATGAGATTGGCTGGAAGGGGCGTGACGTCAGAATCATTGTTCGGCTACTTCACGTACATGCAAGTGAAAAAGTTGGTTGAAAGTTATTTCGAAAGAATTTATCTTGCTATAGCTTTTTTTAAAATTTGATTTCGCCAAATCTTACTTTTTCCTGATAATCTCTTTTAGAAAAAGACAGTTGGAGGCCCCGAGAAGATTTTACCTTGTTTAAAAAAATACAGTTGGGACCCCTGAGAAGGTTTCACCTCTTAATAAAAATACAGTTGGGAGCCCTGAGAAGGTTTCACTTCTTAAAAAAAATACAGTTGGGACCCCTGAGGAGGTTTCACATTATAAAAAAAAACAGTTGTGGGCCCCGAGAAGGTTTCACTTCTTAAAAAAAATACAGTTGGGACCCCTGAGGAGATTTCACATTATAAAAAAAAAACAGTTGTGGGCCCCGAGAAGGTTTCACTTCTTAAAAAAAAATACAGGTGGGACCCCTGAGAAAGTTTCACCTCTTAAAAAAATACAGTTGGAACCCCTGAGAAGGTTTCATATTATAAAAAAAAAACAGTTGGTGCCCCCGAGAAGGTTTCACCTCTTAAAAAAAATACAGTTGGGACATATGAAAAGGTTTCACCTCTTAAAAAAAATACAATTGAGACCTCTGAGAAGGTTTCACCAATTAAAAAAAAATAGAGTTGGGACCCCTGAGAAGGTTTCACATTATTAAAAAAAAAGTTGGTGCCCCCGAGAAGGTTTCACTTTTTTAAAAAATACATTTGGGACTCCTGAGAAGGTTTCACATTAAAAAAAAACAACAGTTGCTGCCCCTGAGAAGGTTTCACTTCTGAAAAAAAATACAATTGGGACCCCTGAGAAGGTTTCCCATTATAAAAAATAAAACAGTTGGTGCTCCCGAGAAGATTTCACCTCTTGAAAAAAATACAGTTGGGACCCCTGAGAAGGTGTCATATTATAAAAAAGAAAACAATTGGCGGCCCGAGAAGATTTTAGATTCTTTAAAAATAACAGTTGAGAGACCTCAAGAAGGTTTCACTTTCTTGAAAAAAAAACAACAGTTGATGCCCCTGAGAAGGTTTTACATTATAAAAAAAAACAGTTGGTGCCCCCGAGAAGGTTTCACCTCTTAATAAAAATACAGTTGGGACTTCTGAGAAGGTTTCATATTATAAACAAAACAGTTGGGCGCCCCGAGAAGGTTTCACCTCTTAAAAAAATACAGTTGGGACCCCTGAGAAAGTTTCACATTATTAAAAAAAAAGGTTGGTGCCTCCGAGAAGGTTTCACTTCTTAAAAAAATACAGTTGGGACTCCTGAGGACGTTTCACTTAAAAAAAAAATCCAATAGTTGCTGCCCCTGAGAAGGTTTCACTTCTTAAAAAAAATACAATTGGGACCCCTGTAAAAAATAAAACAGTTGGTGCCCCCGAGAAGGTTTCACCTCTTGAAAAAAATACAGTTGAGACCTCTGAGAAGGTTTCACATTATAAAAAAGAAAACAATTGGGGGCCCTAGAAGGTTTTAGATTCTTAAAAAATGACAGGTGAAAGACCCCAAGAAGGTTTCACTTTCTTGAAAAAAAAAAACAACAGTTGGTGCCCCTGATAAGTTTTGACCTCTTAAAAATGATACAATTGGAAGCCCTGAGAAAGTTTCACCTCTTGAAAAAATATAGTTGGGACCCCTGAGAAAATTTCACATTATAAAAAAGAAAACAACTGGGGGCCCTAGAAGGTTTTAGATTTTTAAAAAATGACAGTTGAGAAACCCCAAGAAGGTTTCACTTTCTTGAAAAAAAAAAACAACAGTTGGTGCCCCTGAGAAGGTTTCACCTCTTAAATATAATACAATTGGAAGCCCTGAGAAGTTTTCACCTTTTTAAAAAATACAGTTGGGACCCCTGAGAAGGTTTCACATTATGAAACAGAAAACAATTGGGGGCCCTAGAAGGTTTTAGATTCTTAAAAAATGACAGTTGAGAAACCCCAAGAAGGTTTCACTTTCTTGAAAAAAAAAACAACAGTTGGTGCCCCTGATAAGTTTTGACCTCTTAAAAATGATACAATTGGAAGCCCTGAGAAAGTTTCACCTCTTGAAAAAATATAGTTGGGACCCCTGAGAAAATTTCACATTATAAAAAAGAAAACAATTGGGGGCCCTGGAAGGTTTTAGATTCTTAAAAAATGACAGTTGAGAAACCCCAAGAAGGTTTCCCTTTCTTGAAAAAAAAAACAACAGTTGGTGCCCCTGATAAGTTTTCACCTGTTAAAAATTATACAATTGGAAGCCCTGAGAAAGTTTCACCTCTTAAAAAAATATAGTTGGGACCCCTGAGAAAATTTCACATTTTAAAAAAGAAAACAATTGGGGGCCCTAGAAGGTTTTAGATTCTTAAAAAATGACAGTTGAGAAACCCTAAGAAGGTTTCACTTTCTTGAAAAAAAAAACAACAGTTGGTGCCCCCAAGAAGGTTTCGCCTCTCAAAAAAATTGGTTGAAAGTTATTTCGACATAACTTCCCTAGCCCCTAAAGTACGGTTGAACAAATACAGTTTCGAAAAATTATTATTATCAATTTTTCAATTTCTAGATTTTCAAATTTTTCAACTTTCCAATTTTTCCACTTTTATTTCTGGTTTTTCAATCTTTCGATTATTCCACTTCTGGGTTTTACATTTTCGAATATTCGATTTTGGCTTGTTTCGATTTTTCAATTTTTCGATTTTCCAAATTTTCTGTTTCGAATTTTCGATTTTTCATCATTTCAGTTTTGGTATTGTTTAATTTCTCCATTTTTTAGATTTTTGATTCTTCAATTTTCAGATTTTTTAACTTTTCGAATTTTTAAATTTTGGATTTTCAATTTTCTCGGTTTTTTGGTTCTTAAAATTCTTTGACTTCGATTTTTCAACTTAGATTGCACGATTACTCAATTTTTCGATGTGTATTTTGAGATTTTTCAGTTTTTCTTCCATATTTCGATGTTAATTTTTCTATTTTTAAAATTTTAAGTTTGATTCTTCGATTTTTCAGTTCATTCATATTTGTATTTTCAATTTTGTTGACTTGTTTTAGATGTATGAATTTTTCGATTTTTTATTTTTTCGATTTATTCCAAGTTTTTCGATGTTTCGAATTTTCAATTTCCCATTTTTTCGTCATTTCTATTTTCCAGCTATAAATTCGATTTTGCGATGTTTCATTTTCAGATTTTTCAATTTTTGTTCCGAATTTCGATATTATTTTTTCAATTTTGAAAAATTTAGTGTCGATTTCTTAGTTTCAGATCTTTGAATTTTCCGATCTTCAAGTTCTTCGATGTTTTGAATTTCACTTTTTCAATTTCGCAATTTTTCGTCATTTAGTTTTGGAGTTTTTTCATTTCTAAATTTTTCGATTCTTCAATTTTTCGATTTTTCAACTTTCCGATTTTTAAAATTTTGGTTTTTCGATTTCTCGGTTTTTCTATTTTCCAGCTATAAATTCGACTTTTCGAGTTGGACTTCTCGATTTTTCAATTTTTCTTCCATATTTTGCTATTAACTACCCAATTTTTCGTCATTTCAGTTTTGGAATTTTTCAATTTCCCGATTTTTAAAAGTTTTTGACTTCGATTTTTCGATTTTAACAATTTCTCAAGTTTTCCATGTTTCATTTTGATATTTTTAAATTTTTATTCCGTACTTCGATTTTAATTTTGCAATTTTTAAAATTTTAGTTTCGATTTCTCGATTTTTCAATTCATTGATATTTCTATTTTTTAATTTGTCCCTTCTTTGGATTTTCGATTTCTCGGTTTTTCTATTTATCAATTATCTAGTTTTAAAATATTTTAACTTTGAGAATTCGTTTTTTTTTTCATCTTTACAGTCAGCTTTTCCATATATTTTTTTTTGATAACGTTATTAACATTTTAGCAAAGACACATATATGAATTTAATACTAATAGACTTCTTAGAGTTGTGGCACCTTTAGAATCTTTGAAATCTTTGAAATTTAGAGAAGACTTTGAACTTTCACACTATTTGGAATATTTTCACAAATTCAGTAAAATGTTTAGAATTTCTAGAATTGAGTAAATTTTTCAAATTTCCAGAAGTTCCAGATTTTCTAAATGTTATAAAAATATCAGTCTTCTGATATGCCAGAATTCAACATTTTCCTCAGTTTTCAAGATTTCTAGGTCTTCTAGATTTTTCCCACCTTCCAGATATTTCCAGATTTTCTAAAATTAATAGACCCCAAGAGTCTTTAAACCTTTGAAATTTTTGGAACCTCTGGAATCGTTAGAATCTTTGAGATAAGCATTTTGTTTTGTTTAGAATCTTTGGAATCTTTAAAATTTTTGTCATGATAAGAGTTCATGCGTTTTTTACAAATTATAAAATCTTTGAAATATTTGGAACAGAATTTTAATAACCTTTTTATTGTTTGAGTCCTTCCAGTATTTAGAATCTTTAGAGTTTTCAGAGTTTTTAGAGTCTTAACAATCTTTGGGAATTTTGGATACTTCAAAATTACTAGAAATTTTATAAAGTTTAAAATTTGTATAATTTCTAGGAACATTAATACTTCCAAGATCTTTACAATTTTTAAGATTTTGTTGAATGTTTCTTCTATTTCGAACCTAAAACTTAAGTTTATTTAGCGTCTTTGGTGCCTTTACTATTATTCTAGTGTATGAAAACTTTAAGATTTTGAAAAGTTTGAAACCTTTTAAGTATTTCAAACATTTGGAAAATTGTAATGTTTGTAATTTCTCGTAGAGAAATAAAGATCTTGCAGATAAACTCCGCCTCCTTGGCTTACGACGAATAAAAAATTCGTCACGATTGAGATTGGGTGGGTGGGCGGGGCTTATATTTTTCCTTGTTTTGTTAAAATGCATAGTCATCTTTTCACAA